ACCAGTACAAGGCAGAACAGACCTTCAAATTTCTTGCTTCACTGAAAAGTCTACTAGATATTATGGGCCTTTAAGAAGAACTTTGGGTGACTATCCAGGCAGCAAGATGTCTCTGTCAATTCTAGAGTTTTGGAAGTTGCTTACAATGCAATTCCTGTTTGCTTAGGTAATATATCTTTCTGGGGTCTTTGATGGAGTTGAAGACTAGATATAATTATAGTCTTCCTTAGTTATGATAAAAGATAAATTAGATATAAAACTTTAGACTAACAAAGATAGGATAGATGATATTTTCCTTAATTTGTTAAATGTAAATGTCCTAAATATTGTAACTATGATTCTTGCTTGATAATGGTTTTGTATATGTAATTTTACTATTTTAAAGTTAAAACCTGCTCTCTGCCTGCTCGCCGCCATCATGGACACGAGTCGCGTGCAGCCCATCAAGCTCGCTAGGGTAACCAAAGTGCTGGGCAGGACCGGTTCGCAGGGACAGTGCACGCAGGTACGTGTGGAATTTATGGATGACACCAGCCGCTCCATCACCCGAAACATCAAAGGTCCTGTTCGAGAGGGAGACGTGCTCACCCTATTGGAGTCAGAAAGGGAGGCTCGGAGATTACGTTGACCTTCCTGCTTTCCTACTGGGTCCTGAGTATCCACCACTTGGCCCATGATGACCTGCGACTATTAAATAAAGCATTTGTATTGTTTTAAAAAAAATAAAGTTAAAACCTTCCTTTTTAATTAGACAGAAAATGAGAGATGATATGGGATGTCCTCTGTAATGTGCTGTTTTTATTGGTCAATGAATAAAGCTGTTTTGTCCAATAGCTTAGCAGAGTAAAGCCAGGTGGGAAATCCAAATAGAGATATAAAGAGAGAGAATAGATGGAGTCAAAGAGATACTATGTAGTTGCCAAAGGAGAAAGATGCCAGAACATTACTGGTAAGCCACAACATCTAGCAACAAAGATTAATAGAAATTAGTTAATTTAAGATGTAAGAGCTAGCTAGGAATATGCCTGAGCTATTGGCTAGTGTTGTAATTAATATAGTTTCTGTGTGATTATTTGGGGTCAGGCAACTGGAAAACAAAAGCACAGTCTCCATTTACAAATACAATAACCAAGTAGATACACAGAGAAATAGAATTAATAAAATGATGAAAATAGCAGATTAAATAGAAGGAACCAGAAAAAAAAATCATCCTGAGTGAGGTAACCCAGACAAATATGGTATATATTATTTATATATATATATATATATAATATATATTACACTGTTATGTAAATATTAGCTGTTAAGCCAATGATAACCAAGTTAAAATTTGAAGAACCAGAGTTTAAGTACAAAGTAAGAGACTTGTGGGTAGGGGGACTGATCTCTCTAGAAAGGGATATATACAACAGATAGTTTTGGATGGATTAGTAGTAGGGGACTGGAACAGAAAGATCAGGTGGAGAGGAGGAGGGAAGAGGGAAACAATGACGGGAATGCATGAAGACACAGCTGAGCTAAAATTGAGGGCCATTTGAGGGGTAGTATAGAAACCTAACACATAAGCTTTCCAAAATAAAAACATGCCTGAAGATTACCTAAAGGAAATCACTACATAATGGGAGAGACAGAGCCCAACTGTCCATCTTTTGTCACTAAATGAAGCTTCCAGTACAAGGATTGGAATTACATCTAACGTAAGCATTGGCCAAAGAGACCCCACAGGAATCCACAAACAGCCTAGGCTTTTGTTCTCCACAAACTGTAGCAAGGTCCCATTGCTTAAGACAAGACCTACACAACTCATTGAACATGGAGATGTTGAACACAGAGCCTTCACCCTATGTGTTAGCACCTTTGATACAGAAAGGTATGCTACATGTTACCAAAGGAAAAATGTAAACACCAACTAAGGCACAAATCCTTTGTTCTACAGTGGTGTCTACTTTGCAAGATTTGCTAGTGTACTGGCACAGAGTTTGTAGGAGCAACCAACCACTATCTGATTTGACTAAAGGCCCACTCCCCAAGATAGAACCCATACCTGACATTGCTTGGTTGACCAAAAACCAAAGACTAGATAGCCCAGGGATTTAGAGTAAGAACAAATACTACTACTGGTCTTAAAAACGAACAAACAAATAACAAAAAAGTAGTAATAAAATTAATCCTAATGACATTCTGCTATACTTAAAGTGTCTTGAGTGTCTGCTTCAGTCATCCTGAGAGAAGTTTTCCACTACAGCCGATGGGAACACATACAGAGACCCAGAGCCAGACATTATACAAACAGTGAGAAACCTTGGAACACTCAGCTCTAAATGGGATATCTCCATCAAGTCCCTCCTTTCAAGGCTCAGGGAAACCTGTGGAAGGGTTGGGGACAGAAGAGTGTAAGAGCCAAAGGGGATGAAGTGTTTTTATGGGATTTTTGGGTGTATAAACAAGTGCTTCTGCTTCTTGTGTCTTCTCTAGGTTCCTTTCCTCCTGTTTGTTTTGACTAATTTTAATGTGTTAGTTTTATTTTATTACATTTTATTTTAATTAATTTTGTTATTATCCTTTAGAAGCCTGTTTGTTTTCTAATGAGAAACAGAGAGGTGGATGGATCTGGAGAACAGGGATGTACTGGTAGAAATAAAAGGGAGGGGGGTTCCTGTAAACAGGATAGACTACATGAGAAAAAATTCAATTTTCTATAAAAGGAAAAAAACTATAAGAAACACAAAGACACTAACATTCAAAAACAAAATTCATAAAAACAAAAAATTAGAAACCATTACATAATCAAAAGACCAATATGGCCAAAAAAAAATGCCCAAACAAGCAATAGAAGACAAAATATCTACACAAATACCATTGAGTTGTGCTTTGTGTTGGCCATCTACTGCTGGGCAGAGATTAATATGCAAAGTCAGACTCCACTAGAGAAAACGAATTTTTCCTTGAAAGCAGATGTCAATTGGAAATGTATTATAATGATTTTTTACTACATTATTCATTTTTATAGTCACTAACTCAATATTTCTATCACTTTTAGGAAATTCACAAATAATCTCTATTCCCATCTTCTTCCTGAGACAACTCCTAACCTTTTCTGTTTCCTTAGATTTCACAATTTTCTTATATAGAGAATAGTACAATCTGGTCTTCTGTATCTTATCTTTTTGTACTTTGGACAATATAACTGCATTTCATACATAAATATATATTATTTAGTTTAATTGCTAAATATTATTTAACTGTAGAGTTATGTTACATTTTACATATTCATTATGCAAACAGTTGTTTCCACTTCTGGTGTATTTATTGATAGTGTTAACTACAAATTCTTACCTATAAGCTTTTGAGTATACACACACACATACACACATAAACACTTTTCATTCTTCCTGGGTAGATACAGAGAAATGGAAATGGAAAATCATATGATAGAAAAAATTAAATTTAACTTTTAAGACACTGACAAAATGGTTTTCAAAATGGCTGTACCATTTACATTCTGTACATCAATATGGAAGAGCTACTGCTTCTCTAATTATCATTTTTATTCTTGTAGTCATTCCAGTGTGTTAAATTAGCAAACCACTCAAACTGTTTCCAGCAACTTTTTCATCTATATTTTGATCATTTGTGTACCTCCTTTGGTAAATGATTATTTAAATATGGTATCCATTTTTTAAATCATTGAGTTATAAATTTTATAGGATATGGAACAGTGGCTCAGCTGTCAAGAGCACTTGCTGCTCTTGCAAAGGACCCTGGTTCAGTCCCCAGGACCCACATGGTCCTTCTCTAACTCTAGTTCCAGTGATATCGGCTCCCCTCTTCTGGCCTGTAAAGGCAATGGACGCAAGTGGTACACAAGACATACAAAAAAAAAAAAACACTCATCCACATAAACCTTTTTTAAAATCCTCAAACAGTTCTTTATAGATCTTTACCATAATTCCCCTTTTAGACACTGCAAAATCTGGGACTTGGTCTATTAATTTTCTTACTCCCTTTACCACGGTTTCATAAGAGCTCTACCACTGACTTATAACACTAGCTCCTTTAAATACATTTTCAAATTTTTAGACACTAAGTTGTTCAGGTTGATCTTAAATCTGAAATCCGTCTGCCTCAGGTTCATAAGTAGCTAGAATTATAAGACTGCGATATTTATTTTCTTAGTGATGTCTTTTAATGAACATTTAAAAATTTAAAATTAAGTACAAAACAACAATTTCTTCTAGTCTTTTTATAGTTTGTATAGAAACTACCAATCTTCACTTTATGAATATATTCTCCTATATTTTCTTCTAAAAGTTTTATGCTTAGCTTTATGATTAGGTTTTTTATTTATCTTATTATTTATTAAAAATTAATTTTTGTGTAAGAAATGAGATATAGGTGAGGTTTGCTTTTCCAGTAAGCTCTGTTTTATTTATGTATTCTGTAGTACTAGCAATGGAAACCAGGGCCTTATACACAAAATGCCAACTTGTTCCAATAACATTTGTTGAAGATACTTTCTTCTCAGAAAATTGATTCTTGGCAAATTAATGGAAAATCAAGTGACTAGAGATATATCCCACGATTTCTATTTTGTACTAAACTTTTCTTTTGGCTACAATGATCTATTTTCTTACACTGATCTTATTTGTCCTACAACTGTCTGGATTACTATATTTTTACAGTAAGTCTTTAAATACATGGCCTACGCTCTGCATTAGGCATAATGAAACTGTACCTAATTTACTGAATATAATTTTAAAAGTTCAAATTTAGGACATACGTTAAAAAAGCAGCAGAGACATTTTTTTCTTTTTAAAGAAGATAAAAAATTCTTATAAGCTTATATAACATAATTACTACCACCAGTTAATTATGATGACAATCAACTGCTTATGAATATTACTATTTGCTTAGGGTTTTGAAAAAGTCATTATCTAAGCAAGAAGAGAAAGGAAGGATTAAGAGAATAAGCCTAGTATGAGAGGCTTCGGAATCTCTACCTCCATCTTCACAGTCTTCAGGGGCTTTGGCTTTCTTGCAGAGACGAGGATCCAACCAGGTGGTTGTCTTGGTATTATGACTGTGGAATAAAGATCTCAATTAGAAATAGTAAAATAAAGAGGGAGAAAAGTATTGAAAGCAAAGATTCAACTAAAAAGCATATGATATTAGAGCATTTACCTCCTATAGGATCCATATGTATACCACAGACTCAATAATCCAATTATTCCCAATCCATTGCTTAGAATAGCCAGAAAAGAAAGGTAATGCCAGAAGCACAAATTTGAGAATGAAGAACTTAAAGAAGGGATCAAATGCCATTTTGATAATGATAAATTGACTTAAACAGTCAAAACCATTTCAAACAGTGGACACATAGCCACATAACTGTGTATTGCTAGTTAGAAAAGCTGAACTAAAAATCATGTTTCCTTGCTTTTGTTTAAAAAGTAATGCAACATTTTTTTTGTTTTGCTTTTGAGTATCTGTGATTTGATGGGGGCTGAAAACAAACGAAGCTTCTGTCCTTATAGAGGTTCTTTAAAATAAGAAAAATTTTACAAGATTTAAAGTGGCTGTTTCTGTAACATATCACTGAAAAGTCATGGCTCTGGTTAAACATCATTCTATAAAACTGTAAAATTCTATAAAACTAACAGGGATCACCTGAAACAAACAAACAAAAAAGGTAGAAAAAAACAGAAAGATAATGTCATTGCTCCTTTCTGTGAAACAGACCAAAAATGGTCCCAGAGAACAATGTGTTTAATTTCATTATAGGCCACATTTAGTCAGCTTCAGGCCAAGTCACATGCAAGGCAATAATGTTGGAAACTATTAAAGTTCAGAGAAAACAAGCAGTGTTCAAAGTCCCTGAAATAGGGGTAGGGAAATAGCAGTCAATAAAGTGCTTGCCTTGTCAACATGAGGACCCAAGTTCAATCTTCAAAACTCATGTAAAAATGCCAGGGGTGATGACACATACTTGTAACCCCAGCATTGGGGAAGCAGAGATAGATGGGTTTGGGGGACCACTGGCTGATTAGCCTAGCCTAATTGTAAATAACCATGATCCAGTGAGAGACCTGTCTTAAGAGGTGGATATGTTCCTGAAGATTATACCTAAAATAGTCCTCAGTCTTCTACGTATTCAACAACACACAGGTATAGTATACTTGCACTTACATACATGTACTTGTATGCACACACACACTAAAAACTCTCTGAAACAAAGGGATGTCAGAAAAGAAAACGTTTCATAAAAAGGTAGAAAGAAGAGAATGTGCAAATTAACAAGATCAGAAATAAAAATGGGGGCATAACAACAGACACTGAGGAAATTGGGAGAATCATTAGGTCTTACTACAAAAGCCTATATGCCACACAGTTGAAAAATGTAAAAAAAAATGGACTTGTTTTTAGAAAAATATCATACACCAAAATTAAATCAAGACAATTTAAATAGACCTATAAGTTGTGAGGAAATAGAAGCTGTCATAAAAAACCACTCAACCAAAAAAATCCCAGGACCAGATTATTTTAATGCAGAATTTTACCAGAACTTCCAAGAAGAACTGACACCTATACTCCTTAAGGTGTTTCACATAATAGAAACAGAGGAGTCATTCACGGTCAAACTCTTTTTATGAAGCTACAGTTACCCTGATTCCAAAACCACACAAAGACTCAAGCAAAAAAAGAGAACTACAGAACAATCTCGCTCATGAATATCAATGCAAAAATTCTCAATAAAATACTGGCAAACTGAATTCAAGAACACATCAAAAAAAATTATCCATTATGATCAAGTAGGCTTCATCCCAGAGATGCAGGCCTGGTTCAACATACAAAAATCTATCAATGTAATCCATCATATAAATAACCTGAAAGAAAAAACCATATGACCATTTCATTAGATGCTGAAAAAGCATTTGACAAAATTCAACATCCCATTATGATAAAGGTCTTGGAGGGGTTAGGGATACAAGGATCATACCTAAATATAATAAAAGCAATATACAGCATGACAACAGCTAATATCAAATTAAATGGAGAAAAATTCAAAGTCATTTTACTAAAATCAGGAACAATACAAGGCTGTTCACTCTCACCATATCTCTTCAACATAGGGCTTGAAGTACTAGCAATAGCAAAAAGACAACATAAGGAGATCAAGGAGATTCGAATCGGAAAGGAAGAAGTCAAACTTTCGTTATTTGCAGATGATATGATAGTGTACATCAGTGACCCCAAAAACTCTACCAAAGAACTCCTACAGCTGATAAATACCTTCACTGATGAGGCAGGATACAAGATCAACTCAAAAAATCAGCAGCCCTCCTATACACAAAGGATAGAGAAGCAGAGAAGGAAATCAGAGAAACTTCACCTTTCACGACAGCCACAAATAGTATAAAGTATCTTGGGGTAACACTAATCAGGGAAGTGAAAGACCTATTTGACAAGAACTTTGAGTCTTTGAAGAAAGAAACTGGAGGACACCAGAAAATGGAAGGATCTCCCATGCTCTTGAATGGGTAGAATCAACATAGTAAAGATGGCAATTCTACCAAAGGCAATCTATAAATTCAACACAATCCCCATCAAAATCCCAACAAAATTCTTCACAGACCTTGAGAGGACAATAATCAACTTTATATAGAAAAACAAAAAACCCAGGATAGCCAAAACAATCCTATACAATAAAGGAACTTCCGGAGGCATTACCATCCCTGACTTCAAACTCTATTACAGAGCTACAGTAATGAAAACAGCTTGGTACTGGCATAAAAACAGAGACGTCAACCAATGGAATCAAATAGAAGATCCGGATATTAACCCACAAACCTATGAACACCTGATTTTTGACAAAGAAGGTAAAAGTATACAATGGAAGAAAGAAAGCATCTTCAAAAATGGTGCTGGCATAACTGGTTGTCAACCTGTAGAAGAATGAAAATAGATCCATATCTATCACCATGAACAAAACTCAAGTCCAAATGGATTAATGACATCAATATAAATCTGTTCACACTGAACCTGATAGAAGAGAAAGTGGGAAGTAGACTGCAACACATGGGCACAGGAGACCACTTCCTATATATAACCCCAGTAGCACAGACAATAAGAGCAACATTGAATAAATGGGACCTCCTAAAACTGAGAAGCTTTTGTAAAGCAAAGGACACTGTCATTAAGACAAAAAGGCAACCTACTGAATGGGAGAAGATCTTCACCAATCCCGCATCAGACAAAAGTCTGATCTCCAAAATATATAAAGAACTCAAGAAACTAGACATTAAAATTCTAATTAACTCAATTAAAAAATGGGGTACTGAACTGAACAGAGAATTCTCAACAGAAGAAGTTCAAATGGCCAAAAAAAACCCCACTTAAGGTCATGTTCAACTTCATTAGCAATCAGGGAAATGCAAATCATTAAAATGAGATACCATTTTACACTTGTCAGAATGGCTAAAATCAAACACACCAATGATAGCCTATGCTGGAGAGGATGTGGAGTAAGGGGAACACTCATTCATTGCTGGTGGGAATGCAATCTTGTGCAACCACTTTGGAAATCAGTGTGGCGATTTCTCAGGAAATTGGGAATCAAACTACATCAGGATCCAGCAATACCACTCTTGGGAATATACCCAAAAGATGCCCCATCATACTACAAAAGCATTTGTTCAACAATGTTCATAGCAGCACTATTTGTAATAGCCAGAACCTGGAAACAACCTAGGTGTCCCTCAATGGAAGAATGGATAAGGAAAGTGTGGAATATATACGTATTAGAGTACTACTCAGTGGTAAAAAAAACAATGACATCTTGAATTTTGCATGCAAATGGATGGAAATAGAAAACACTATCCTGAGTGAGATAACCCAGACCAAAAAGATGACTATGGTATGTACTCACTCATTAGTGGACTCTAGTCATAAACCAAGGTCATTAAGCCTATAGTTCACAAGCCTAAGAAGCCAAATAACAAGGTGAACTCAAAGAAAAACATATACAGATCCTCCTAGATATTGGAAGCAAACAAGATTGCAGGGCAAAAGTTGGGAGCATGGGAGTGGGGGTAGGGGTGGAGGTGAGGTTGGGGGAAGTGGAGAGGGGAAGAGGGGAGAAGGGAAAGACTGGCAAGAGCTTGGGTGAGTGGGAGGATGGAGATGGAGGAAGAGTGGATATAGGAGCAGGGAAGAAGATAGCTACATTAAGGGAGCCATTTTAGGGTTGGCAAGAGACTTGACTCTAGAGGAGTTCCCAGGTGTCCACGAGGATGTCCCCAGCTAGGTCTTTGGGCAGCAGAGGAGAGGGTGCCTGAACTGGTCTTGCCCCACTATCACACAGATGATTATCTCGAATATCACCATAGAATCTTCCTCAGGCAGATGGAGATAGAGACAGAGACCCTCATCAGAGCAATGGACTGAGCTCCCAAAGTTCAGTTGAAGGGCAGAAGGAGGGAGAAGATGAGCAGGGAAGTCAGGACTGCCAAGGGGTTGGTCAACCAACTGAGGCAGTGTGCCTGTTCTAATGGGAGTTCACCAAATCCAGTTGGACAGGGACTGAACGAGCATGTGATCAAAAGGGAGTCTCTGATTGTGGCTGACAATGGGAGCTGACTGAGAAGTCATTGATAAAGGCACTGGGACTTGGTTTTATGGCATGTTCTGGCTTTTTGGACCCTAGTCTATATGAATGCACAGCTTCCTAGGCCTGGATGTAGTGGGGAGGGCCTTGGACTTCCCACAGGGCAGGGTTCCCTGCACTTACTCAAGCAGGGAGGGATAGAGAGAAGGGGGAGTGGGGGAGCGGGAGGGAATTGGGAGGAGGGGAAGAAGTGTAAATTTTTGAATGGAAAAATAAAAAATAAATAAAAAAGAAAAAGAAAAAAGCACACAAATAAATAAATAAACCTTCAACATTTTTATCCATAAAAAAAGGTAGAAAGAAAACATAATGCCAGTTATTACTGAAGTCCTATGAGCATAATTATAAAAAGCACACCCTCTTGAGATTAGTTTATCAATGACTTGCCCACTTTTAGAAAGGAAAAGAACTGTTAAAAAACAGAAGCTACCTCCTGTGTTCTTTCTAATCCCTCCTAGCCTTTGCAGCACTCTACACCTACGCTCGGGTACGACACTAGTTGGCAGACCATAGCAGAGATACTTTCTGAGTGTATACTAAATAAATTTTTAGGAAAGCATAAGAGTATTTTAGAAAGTCTGTGTCATACATCCTGACAGAGAGAATGTCCCTAAAATAAAAGCTGTAAAATCAAATATAGTAAAAGGAAAGAGATCACAATTCACAGAAACCTAGAACACAAATGGTTGGGGGGGAGGGAGTTGTAAAAAATATCTTCCTAAATCGAACACAAAATTTGTCCTTGAGAAAGGCCTGACTTTGAGTATACCAATGCAAACGTTATTGCTAAACTATAAAATATAGGTAATATGCTAAGATTTTACTCAATATTCCCTAAGGTACAAAACAGTACTCACAGGGGCCATTCCTAAAATGTAAAAGCTAAACCTTCTGGACCTATATTATTAATATGCTTTTCTCACAGCTACACATGAACACAGCAGTTAACACAAACCGAGTACAGCAGCTACAGAAACAGAACTGTTGCCCCATCACTAAATATTTGCCTGTTTTGGGATTCACAAACTCTTCAGTCAATACATGGTTTGGAAAAATTTCTCCGATTACATGGGTTGTCTTTGTACTCACTGACTGCTTCGTGGATAAGTGTTTAAGTTTATAGCCTCCTTTGTTTTCTTTTGCTTTTGTGGTCATATCAGAAAGTCTTTGTTAAATCTAATGTCATAGAATTTCTTCCGTATTTTCATGTAGTAGTTTAGTTTCAATACTTGTTAAAATCATTTATTTTTATTTTATGTGTACAAATGTGTACCTGTGTAACTCTACACTCATCACATTCCTGCCTGGCACCCAAGGAGCCCAAAGGGCATCAGACTCCCAGGACTAGAATCGCGAGTGGATGTGAGCTGCCTGAGATGGGACCGGGAGCTGAACTCAGGTCCTCTGCAGGTACAGTACATGCTCTTCTTTTTTTTTTTTTTTTTTGAGGTGTTATTATAAATTTTCACTTTCTTAATATACACACATAATTATATATAAGTATGTATATTATGAGTGGATATAAATGTAGAGGTAGTGATAAAGAGAAAAATACTGCTTTGTATGGCATTCATTTTTCACATAAAACACATAAAAGTTTCATATAAGCCATATTTACTACCTAACTTTCTAACTGTTCTGTCTAAATAGCTGAGAAGAATTAATTTAAAGAGGAAGGATTTATTACACGATTCAGGGAATACAGTCTGTTACAGTGGGGAAGGGAGAGCCGTGGGAGAGATGGTAGAAGGCTGCACTTTTAAGGAAGTTTTAATCAGTATTTCTGTAAGCAATGCCAATCAATTCACTGATGCACTAAGTTGGACTCAGGTGGTATCATACTTGTAGTCTGTTGTTGACTTCCTACCTGGTGTAAATAGATATTTGTTCATGTCTCTGCTATGTACAACACTTGGCAAAATGGATTTCCTCATGCAGAAAAATCAAAGATTTTATCAACTTGCATAAAATCTGTGCCAACTAAACACATTAGTAATAATATCAGAGTATCCAAAAATTATTAGTGTCTCATTAAGGAAAAGAAATTAAAAGCACACCCTCTTGAGATTAGTTTACCAAAAGCAAGCAGATTTGAAATTTTTAATTCTCTTTTCCTGTGTGTTATGATCTCTCAACTATAATTCATCTGTAGTATGTGTCTGTATGGTTGCCTGCCTGAAAGCTGTCTTGTGAATCTGTTTGTTCTTGTGTGTGTAGGAGTGGGGGTCCTCACTAAAAAATGGCTTTTTGCTCTGCAATTACTGAGTAGCAAAGAAAGTGTAAGTAACATGGGGACTAAATATGGATTAATTTAAAAAAAATCATGAGCAGAGTTCACAAAGGGTTGAAACTTTACTGACTCTAACCCAGATAACAAATGAGAAAATGCCATCGAACAGAATCTGTATGCTGCTTCCAACACCTTGGATGGATATTTCCTTCATGAGATTGGTTTTCAAACTATTCTTGTTTTCAACAGATGACTACCATATCAAATACACACACACACACACACATACACACACACATACACACACACATACATACACACTGAGTTCTAGGTCAGGGACGGGACATGGGAGACTATATAATTTAATTATTAGTTTAAGTTGTAAAAGTTGACTATATGGAAAATCCAAAGCAACTCAGGTTGGTTGTTATTTTGTTCTCTTAAAGGCAGGTTAGATGTACATGCTGAGATATAATAGGACAGCAATCTTAAGTCTTAAGTGACCTCAAGGTATATTATTAAGTCTTCTAGACAGGTCGAATATAAGGGATATTTTCATAATAATATATCATCACAAAAGCAATTGGAAATGGATAAAAGACAGATCTCAAACACTGAAACCTGTAGATAAAAATATAAGAAAAAGAATATAAGATATAGGCATAAGCAAGGATTTTTTTGAACAAGGTTCCATTGTACCAGAAATAATCTCAAAAATACACAATTTTAATTACGTAAGATTAAGAAGTTTTTACACAGCAAAGAAACAATCACCATAGAGAAAATACATCCTACAGAATGGGGAAAAAGCATTGCTGTTACACATCAGACAACAGACTAGCACCTGGGACATAAAAAGAATGCACAGTAAGCACTCTTAACCGCTGAGTCATCATCTCTCTAAACCCCTAGTTTCAATTCTTACTATTTTAGGTCAATAACATATTTAACTATAAAGACATAATCCCCTTATTTTTATGGTCTAGTTATACAATGTACTTAAAAATCCCTTCAATTGTCCAAAAAGAGTATATGTAGTTGTACTGTTTTGTGAACACCTTGACACTAATATTTACAGGAATGAGAATGTACTGTATGTGGTAAAAAAGACTGTGTCCTCAAAGTCTGTCTTTTAAGCGCTAGACTCTGACTTGGTAGAACAAAATGCTCATTTGTGAGACTGTCTGATGATAAAAGATTTGGAAGAGAGGAATGGAGGAAGAGAGGGAAGGAGAAAGGGATGGTAGAAGACACACACACACACACACACACACACACACACACACAGAGAGAGAGAGAGAGAGAGAGAGAGAGAGAAAGAGAAATTCTTCTTTGGGTAAGTACCCAGACCTCAGTATATTCATTGTTATTTAATTATTAAATTATGTAACTCTACTACATTAATATTCTACTCCTGAACAAATTGCTTTAAAGATTAGACTTACAGGTGCATAGGAATATAAAAATTCTTCATAATGAACTTTGAATGAATTATTTGCATAACATTCTCTGGAGCAAACAATATTCAATTTTAGGCTGATCTAATTATGTGGTAGTCAGTACCTCTATGAATATTATTATGAATATTATATTAATACTTTTCCAGTTAAAGTTTCCTATTTGTACTTCTATTATACTTCTATTAAAGATCAGTGATATTATCTACTGAATTACTTAAATACATTATTTCAATACACCAGCTCCAAACTTTAGAGCTGAAAACACCTATAATGGTATGGCCCTTCCCATGACAATCATTTTGTTTGATGGCTGACTTGAGACAGGGTTTCACTATGCAGCCCAGATTGGCCTTGAAATTGCCATGAAGACAAAGATTGGCCTGGGACTCACATAAATCCTTCAGTCTCTGCCTCTCAAGACTGGGACTAATGTTGTGTACTACCACACCTATCTCACTGCACTGGGCAATCTACCTAAAATTTTTTCTTTTTCTTTTTTTTTTTTTTTAAGTGAGGCAAAACATCCTTTATTCCTTTCATTTTTCATCACCTACTTTTAAACCTTCACCAGAGACCAAGGATGGGGACACAGCTCAGTTGGTAAAGTGAGGACATGAGTTTGATCTCCAGAAGCTACATAGTGGGGTACCTTGCCCTCTCAGCACTGGGGATGTGGTCAGCTGGAACAGCACAATAGGTGATATCCAAGCCAATGAGACGCCCTGTCTCAAAAACAAACTGGACAGAACCTGAGGAACTACACTTGAGGTTGACCTCTGCCCTAGACACATACACATTCTAAAAGCCAAATATTACATAATACAAGTTGAAGGGGGGTAAGGGGAGGGAGATGTTATTCAGGGAAATAACTAAAGAATCAGCTTAAATGGAAAATATTTTAAAATAAAAACAAGTGAAAGCTTTCAGATATTGGAATGAGTAATCAAGTTAAGGTTTAAAAAAATTCCAGTTCATCATAGTGACAAGCATGCTGGAAGAAACACAGATAGTTGCTTACTCAATGAAATAGATCATCCCTGTGTCAGTGTAGGCCATTTCCCAGTTTTTGGGCAGTGGTTCCAGATTCTCATCTCTCATCATATAATTTCTAACGTCCATGGAGCTATTTGTTTGGTTATAACTTGGAATAGTCTTCATCCAGCAGTCAGATGACTCAGAATGCATCTCTCTGGTTTCTGTAATTGTTGGAAACAGAAGAGTATAAATGGTAAAGTTAACTTTTTTTAAACAAAATGCCAAGTGCATACATCATTAGAATTATATACTACAAATTGCCTTATCTATTATGTATATACTCTTGTATTAACTTTGAAATAAATAAACATACTTAAGTTTTTATCATTTTCTGAATAAAATAAGCTCTACCCCTCTGATGCTAGTCTGAAAAAGCAGCAAAAAACTCCACCAGAATCAATTCAGTAAGAATCTTAATAGCAGCACTGTACTTACACAGACCTTTAACACGGCAAGTTCTATTTTAAGCATGTAACATATATTAATTCAGTCTTCATAGCAACCCTATCAGTATTATTATTATTATCTTTTTATGCATTGAGGAAACCAAGCCAAAAAGAGGCTAAATTAGTCGGTTCACAACTCATTAAACAGCACAGCCAGAATTTGCATCTAGCATACCATGTTTTTGACAGCTATACTAAGCAGATTCATATACTTTTAATATGGGTATTTAAGTAATACTTTATTTTTAAAAGTTAAGTATATTAAATATATTAAAATCCTTTTGGAGTCCCAAACTCTATGACGTAGGTAGGTAGACTAAAACTTGGGTATTGTCTAGGGAGTCTACAAGTAATGTACTTAAAACACATTCTTAGAACTTATATATTGTATCATTTTCTCACTTTGTATAAACAACATCTCTAATCTAGATAATTTGGGGGAAAGCCTCTGATATCATGAGGCATCAACCCATACCTACTTCAGTTCTGGTCATCCCTTGGATAAATCTACTCACACAATTTATTAATCTTGCTAGTTACTGAGAGATTAACAGCACTAACTAAAATATAAGTTATTATAACAATATCCTGTTCTAGAAGTTAGGCAAATATATTTCTCTCTTGCTTTCCCAAAATATCTTAATATATAGTAATATATTCCGACCACTTTTGATTGTGCGTAATAGAAACTGGAGAAAATTAAGGTGTGGCTTATGGAGGACTACTGAACTACTTTTTTTTATTATTATTATCCTGTATCTTATGATGACCTCATTGCTTATTTCACAGAGAGAACAGGTTATAGGCTGACCTCTGAAACAGTGACCAGTCACTACCGCATTCCTTTTCCTTTCATCACTCTGCTCCAGCCGCATACAAAACATTGCCCACACCATGACCAGACACGCTGGCTTCTTTGCTGTTATCTAATATTCCAGTCATACTACCATTTCAGATATTTGAATTTACAGTTGCCTCTGTTAGAAATGCTCTTCTCGACACACATATGAGTTCCCCTGACTGCCTATGTGCCCTGTATCACTTAGAGATTCTGTAAGCAAGAAGGTCATCCCAGATAAGACCCTTTTTAGCCTTGGCGCTTCTGACCCACAAGTCCAAACAAACCTCTTTTCTTTCTAGATTGCTTAGGCTCTGATATTATATTATTAGCAGCAGAAAGCCAAGTGAGATGCGTGCCTATGAAGCTGATTATAAATTCCATTGTCTCCAACACACACACACACACACACACACACACACACAATGCTCTTCTTTCAGATACTTGTTTACTCATTTGTTTCAAGTCTTCTCTGTCACTGTATCCAAAACTGCAAATTGACTACCTCTATTTTCTTTCTACCTCCTTGCATGCCTTGTTTAGCAGCATCAGACACACTATTCATGCTATTTATCCAGCTATTATTCTCTCATCAGAGAGTAAAGTCCATGAGAACAGTAATTTAGAACAAATGCCTAGAGATTAGTAGCCTGGCAGATGTTCAATAACTATTTGTTGAATGAGCATATAGATGAAATTTCTGGTTTATTTTCTCACAGAATATGTAATAAAAATTTAAAGGTATCCAATGTAGAAATCAATCTGGAAGTGAGTTACACTTGGGGAAAAAAGTATGCCAGACAAAAGCAACGTCAACTAAATAATCTGTAATACTTTTCTCATGCAATTCAAAGACTAAACCTTTTAAAACACAATTTCAGTCTTCACATCTAAATTCACTGGTTAATTTATTTAACATTAAGCATAAGTATTGAGAAGATAGAACAATACACAGAACTCACCATCTGGAGAGGGAATAAACAATGATCATATAATGTAAAAAAAACTATATACAAAGGAAATTTTAATAGGTGACAAAAGAAAGATGAAGATGCTTCAGGGTCATATAGTGATGAGCTGCAAATCTAGGGACATGATCAGCATTTATTTCCTTCTCTTGAAGTGAATACAGAAATGGGGGGGGGGAAACAGAAAAAATTCTAGCCTTTATAGAGTTTACACACAAGTGTTCCAAACAGAATGATTATAATAAATAACACTAACATAAGTCTTTTGTGAACCCTCTGACTTCCTAGTTCTACTCTCAGTTAAGTGTAACAATCTTCTGGAAAATTACAAAATTATTCAGAGACACTCAGGGCAGATTCTTTATCCTTTGCAGTTTTATTTTCATTCAGTAGGACATATGGAAGCCAAGAAAAAGATATGAATCTTATTTGCAAGTTATCTTTGAGTGGATCCTGAATTTAAACTTAAAATATTGCTACCTAACTTTTCAGATAATTTCTTCTGGCACACCTCCAAAGTCTATGTACTTTGGGTTGAAAGCTGTTATTATAAAACCAATTTTGTTTTACTTCTGAGAAACAGGAATTATTCAGGTAAGATTCCCATATCCCAGCATCACAAGTTTTCCAGACAGCAAGGTAATGACATATCATTAATGACAGTTACTACCAATTTATCAAAGTTAAGAAAACTCAGATTAGCTCACAGGATGATCCATACATCATCATGTTCCCCACACAGATTTCAAGGAAAATAGAATCCTATCACCTGCTCTATAAATATTTCAAGAAAAATTTCACTATTTCAATTAAAGGTCAAAGCCAATCCAAAAAAAAAATCAGAAGTTGTTACAAACTTCTGTTTACAAACCCGTGTTTCCACTGCCATTAACAGCATCCTTGTCCTCATCTTCCTCTTCTTCAGGGAGAGAGCTGTCCATCCTTTCCATCTTGCTGACAGATGTAGTTCGTTTTCTTTGGGATTCTGTGTCAAACTCATTGTCAAAGAGGACCTGATCAACCGGATCTGGCTGGAAAGGACTAGGTTCTGCTGGAGGCTTGGGAGTGCCATAGAAATTTCCTGTGGTGTACAAAATGACAGCAGCTGAAAGCACGAATGCTGACTGAGTCACATGAATACGGCTCACAGAATATCTGCTGTTTCTTACACTGAAGTTGTGTAAGTACCTACCACTGACGGGAAGGAGGCCAAAGCATTCCCTGAGAGAGGAAGCAATAGAAATGAGAGTATGGACCAATTTCTCATATATCATGTCATATATAAGCTAACATATTAATACAATTTGTATTAGCTATGAAGGTGATGATATCAATTATTTATTCATATTGGATTAAGTTTTATATGGATTCCAAATTAGGGCCAAATTTGGAAATATAAAAACATCAACTGTCTTATGCAAAAACGAAAGAATAAAATTAACTCAATACTTATGTTCTAATGTACAAAATGAATTATTTTACTAAGAGGATATATACAGACAAAGGCTAAGAACTATGTCATACACAAATATAAGATGTTTGTGTAATTTTAAAAGGGTTTTCTGCACATTTTAATTATACTACTTGAGAATTTTGTTGTTATTGTTTTATTTTTCGGGACAGGGTTTCTCTTTGTAGTCCTAGCTGTCCTGGAACTCTCACTGTAGACCAATGTGGCCTCGAACTTACAGAGATCCACCTGCCCCTACCTCCCAAGTACTGGGATTAAAGGTGTGCGCCACCACCGCCTGGCTACTACCTGAACATTTTTTGAAGAGACATTATTGATCAAGTTCTATACTAGTATACTCACAACAGCAATTTAGTGTTTTATAGAGGATCCATGATTTTTAGAGTACTGGTAATTGGTCCATTAGAATGAAAACTAACAAAATAACTTTCAGTGTGTTATGCAAGCAGGCATAATGGGAAAATCTTCAGCAAGTTTAGTTGTCCTGACAGTTGTTGCCCCCACTCCTTTTGACTTTACATCAGTCATTATGTTAATGTTATAAAAAGATATATATAGTAAGAAGTAAAACACTTGTCTTTTATTGTTGTGCTTATACAATATCACACTTTTAATCAAACTGTTCAAATTAAGATACACACTGACATAACACAAGTTAAGAAAGTAAATTGCTATTTTCTCTAGATAAAAAAAAATCATGTCAGATCACATAATACTAAGACAAATCTATAATTAACATAACATAATGTGCCTTAATCTACATGTCAGAGGGAAGGCACATTATAGTGAATTCTGTTGAATTATCAATATTCAAGGAAGTCAAACTTCTCAACTCAATTCTTTCCCTATCTGAAGTGGGTACAAAGACTTGTATTAAAACAGACTAGATTTTCTGACCTGTAAATAAAGATGCAACGAAAAAGCCAGTTTACTGTTTTCTGAACAACATTTGATACTACGAGTAGAGGTTTAATTGGGGGAGGGATGCACTAAAATTTCAATTTTCCCCATTTTATCTTAGTCTACAGGCAGGACCTCATTGTGTGGCCCTGGGTGCCCTGGAACTCACTATCTATAACACTGTTCTCAGAATCACAGAGACCAACCTGCCTGTGTCTCTGCTGCGATTAAAGATATGCAGCACCATGCCCCGCTATTTTTCCTTTTTAAAGCTCAACAATGACACTATCAAGGATTTTGAATAAAACAAATCAGAAATAAAAGCACATGTTTTCTAGGGAACAATATTATCAACAGACAAACATTTTACTCTAAATTCTCAGCTAACTAACTACATAAAAACGAACACTTCTTAAAAGAAAAATTAAAAAAAATGCAGAGTACAAACTGCTATCGTGTCACTAAACTCATTTTGGGGCATCATAATAATTTTTTGTAATTTCTTTCTTTAAGAAAGGGCTTCCCGGGGCTGGGGAGAGGGCTCAGCAGTTAAGAGCAGCTGCTTCTCTTGCACAAGACCCAGGTTCAATTCTTAGCACCCACATGCTAGCTTACAATCTCATTCATAATTGCAGTTCTAAAAGACCCAGACCATCTTCTGACCTCCACAGACACCCGGCACAAATGTAGTACGCATACATATACATTCAGGCATAACAACACTCAAAGATTTTTTAATCTAAAAAAATTCTACTTAATTGAAAAAGAAAGGCTTTTTCATTAATAAAGCTATCAACTATTAAATATTTCAAACACATGATTATCAAAGATAATAGTGTCTGAATTGTATTAGTTATCTATGTCATATTCACATTTACTTATATGAATATAGGTGTATACCCTCTGGGTATAAGATTTATCTTTTTAAATCAATATTTAACAGAATTCCCTCACCCCCAGACCTTTCTCTCTTTGTGACAGGGTTTCACTATATAGCCCCATCTGTTTTAGAGCATGCTATGTAGACCAGGCTGGCTCTAACTTCCAGAGATCCATCTGCCTATACCTCTCTGCCCCAGTGCCCCTCTACCCTGTGCCTGCTTTCTAAGTACTGGAACTAGTATTAAAAAGTGCACACTATCATACTGAGATCTCCTTCTTTTTGAGAACAGGATCATATCTAAGGCTGGCCTTGAACTCCTGATCTTTCTTCTTCCATCTCCCCCAATTGCTGGGATTATAGGCATGTTCCACTATGCTGACTATAATTACACTTACTTTTTTCCCTTTCTTGAAACAGGGTCTACTTCTAGAACCATAATATTTTTGAAATTATCAAACAAGAAGTCTTGGGTACTGCCGTTAAGAATGGAAACAGGCAGCTATTCAAAACTACCTCATCAGACCGAGTAAATAAACTCTACAAGTCAAAAAATTTTGGTCCAGCATCAGGATAACGAAGAAATAAAATGCAGTACTCAAATGATGGCAAACTGTGAGAAATTAAATCAATAAATGTAGGATAATAGTAATATATAAAAATTTAAAAACTACAGTAATATAATAAATATGCACATAAGACTCTACACAGTTCATAAGAGCACAAAATATGCATATAAACAAAACATGCATATTAAACAAATAAGAAAGGTTAAATGTCAGAGGTAAGCTATTCGAATAAAAGTGAAAACAAATTAGCTTGTCCATTCCTCTGACATGTCAATCATTTTTCTTTAAATTTCTTGCTTTGTTTCCTTCATAGCACCTCAGTTTACACTTAATTTAATTTTGACTGCCTTCCATACTAGGATACAGAACTTATTAAGGCAACAGCATTTTGATCTTGTTCATCACAGTATTCTTGGGTCTCTTACAAGACTTGGCACATAGTGCATACTTGACATGTGGTTGCTAAATAAATGAAACATGAGCAAATCAATTTTAAATGAATGAATGATTCGTGGGAGCTAAACCCAGAAAAAGTAGTTAGGTAAAAGTTTATAGGTGGGAAGGAAAAGACTAAAAATTTTGAGTAAGAAAGAGATATGACCAGAATGATCAAAGCTGAACTTGAGGGCTGGAGAGATGGCTCAGAAGTTAAGAGCACTGACTGCTCTTCCAGAGGTCCTGAGTTCAATTTCCAGTAACCACATGGTGGCTCACAACCATCTATAATGAGATATGTTTCTCTCTTCTGGTGATCAGACATACAGACAGAACACTATTCATAATAAATAAGTAAATAAATAAATAAACAAACAAACAAATAAATAAATAGTTTTTAAAATGTGATCTTGAAGAAGCCCAGCACTGTAGCAATCGGAAGGATGGAATGAACAGGCTAGAAACTGAGAATGGAAGAGAAATCACACTGCAATAGTGTAACTAACTCATCTGAAGTGCCTAAAATAAGGCAGTGAAAAAGAAGAGCATTATGAAAGTGGCTGGCAGGAAGAAATGACTATACGTGGTGACAAGAGAAGTATGTTTTCTGGACAAAAATGTGCATATAAATGCACATATATACATATGAAAGAGATGCATTCAAAGCAGTTTTATTGAACATCATCTAAAGACACTGAAGACAGCATCAACTAAGAAAGGCATAACTACTACACAGAACTTGTGAAAGAAGCCATTATAAAAGCAGAATGAAGCAATGTTGAAAAAGTATAAGGTGCTATGGGAGAATAAGCTTGCCAAATCCAAAGTGTGTTAAATAGGAAAAAATAAGTACATAACAAGGAATCATTTAAGAGTTGAAACCGATCTCAAGTTTGTACTTCAGGGAAACAAATGGGGAAACAGATATAAAAATTCATTATTGGCTCTATCCGCCATTTTATACTTTCTTCTTTAAAGTACATGTAAGTTTTTCCAAGTATACAAACTTTATATTCCCACCCATGAACAGAAAACCATCAACAAGTACTCATTGGTTCAGATGATGACAGTGAATTGCTATGAAATATGTAAACTTGCCAGTTTGGTTAATTTTTAGTTTATTGTTCACAATGTGTAACATGAGCCCCGGGCATCATTCTGTAGCATGAGGGCCTGCTTGTTGGGGTTTCCGTCCTGTCCAGTCCCCCAGCCCTTTAGTCCCAGAGAATATCACACAGAGGTCTCCATAAGTTATAAACTGATTGGCCCATTAGCTCAGGCTTTTTATTAGCTCTTGTAACTTATATTAACCCATTATTTTTATCTATGTTAGCCACATGGCTTGGTCCCTTTTCTCAGCAGGGCAGGTCACATCTTGCTTCTTCGGTGATCTGGGCGGGACTGGTGAGGAATGGACTTCCTCCTTCCCAGAATTCTCCTGTTCTCATCGCCCCGCCTCTACTTCCTGTCTGGTTGACTCGCCTATACTTCCTGCCTGGCCAATCAGTGTTTATTTAAAACATGATCGACAGAATACAGACAATTATCCCGCACCAACAATGAATTTTTCAATGTGATGTAATACTTCTCATTATTGTCCAATACCACCTAAATAGTAAATTAAGAATCTCCTAATCAAAAGAACAATTTTCTAATAAATTAAGATTTATCTTTATTTTATGTGTACAGTTGTTTTGCCTCAGGTATATCTCTGTGTGTGTAGTGCCCAACAAAAGCCCAAAGAGAGCATCAGATCCTCTGCAACTGAGTTTCACACAGTTTCTAGCTGTCATGTAGGTACTGGAAATCAAAAGCAAACCTTCTAGAGGAGCAGCCAGTGCTCTTAACCATTGATCAATATCTCTAGTCCTCCCAAATTACATTTTTTTTAAAAAATCAAATTTACTGATGAAATTCCCTTTGAAATAATTCTGGCCATCTGGCTAGTTTGAGGTAGTTTTAATATTTGGAGACATACCATCATACGTTCCACTTTCTAACAAGGCTCCGCTCTCTTCCAGTGCTTTGAACTGTTCAACAGAAATGAAATTATAGTCCACCCCTGGAACTTCCCCATCCCTGGGAGCCCTTGTAGTGCCTAAGGAGAAAAGAAAAATATAATTGTAAAGTACTTTTTAAAACATAAATTATTCAGAGTACCTATAAAGTTCAGTCTAAGAGGACTACATGAAAGACACAACTGGTTTAACAAATTGTATCTTATAAAGATCAGAAAATAACCATGAAATTCAAACCTATAAAAAAAAAACCTAAAGTTTAGTGCTATAAAGACTTAATTTCCTGGCACACAATTTTTAACAAAGATTTTATTTTTAAACTTTTACGTTTGTGTGTGTGTGTGTGTGTGTGTGTGTGTGTGTCTATGAGTGTAGGAACCCACAGAGTTGAAAAGAGGAGGTTGAAGCCTCTGAAGCTGGAGTTACAGGTGGTTGTGAGCAACCTACTGTGGGTCCAAGAAATCAAATCTAGATTCTGCAAGAGCAGTACCTGCTCTTAACCACTGAGACATCTCTCCATCACCATTTAAAATCCCAATATTGCTACTGCAAGAAGGAAAGATAAATTCACCAGGAACAGACTTCATCACCCCTTACAATTTTATCAGGGCATAAATGACAAAGATTGCATCAATTTTTGGCATATACATTTTGAGGTAGGGAAAGATGGTGTCTCATTATATCTCCCTGGCTGGCTATGTAAACCAGGCTAGACTCAAACTTACCTCTTTTTATAATATCCAAAATGTGAAAAAGACCCACAAAGATTATGATTATGACAAAAATAATAGGTTGAGAAAAATAATGGCTATGGAAACATTCTATAAAGTAATTGTGCTGAATTTTCTCCATCATTTAAAACGCATCTTTCTAAAAGAATATAGGAATTTTGTTTTAGATCCTAGAGGATACAAAAGTTTTAAAACATAGCTTCCTCTTTTAGTATAATACTTATTTTTATTATCAAAATTTTTGTTTCTCATTTGATGAACTACATTGCTAAGATTCTTTCAATCAGGTAGGCAGTGGTGGTGCATGCCTTGAATCCCAAACTTGGGAAACAGAGGCAGGTGGATTTCTGTGAGTTCGAGGCCAGTCTGGTCCACAGAGTGAGTTCCAGGACAGGTATGGCTGTTACACTGAGATCAAGAGATTTTTGCTTTATATTAAGTAGAAAGTTGCTAGGAAACTGAAGAGTTAAAAATTATAACTTAGAATTGCCTATGAAATATGGGAGAATCCATTGATACAATAACTGTACTTTTTTCCAATAAGATGATGATTACTGTTGAGCATACATTTCAGAAATTCATGTCCAATTGCAACAGTTAAATAAATGTTTATAATATACAAAGAAAAGACAACCAAACATAAATGTTGCTGTGAGTGTGCCTTGCATCGAGACCAGTGTTTCCCTCAGTTAATATAGCTTTATTTTTGAGCTGCACAAACACACTTCAGAATTCCATCTTTATAGAAAGGTATTTAGGAAAAAATGAACTCCCACCTCAAAGAACTAAATGGCTGTGCATGATTCTGGGCTGGACAACGGAGAACACTAGAACACTCTGGTATTGCAGGCAGCATAAAAAGGAAAAGAAAAAGCTTGAGATGCCCATTAACACTCTATGTTTTAAGGAAGCAGGATTTTAATCTTTATAAAGTGTTTGCAGTGAAAAAAAAAAAGATGAGGAGCTTTTCCCTTCAGTTTAAATCTTAACTTACTTTTACTAATTTAATGGCAAACATACTATACAAGTTTAGAAGTCTATATTTCCATCTCCCATCCTCCTGGAATGTTCCTATTACCATACCATGCAAGGAATGTCAGGCTAGACCCTTGAATAACTGGAACTCCAAAAGGATCCCAGACATAAAGGCAGAGTCACACCAGCTTCCCCAGTGCCTGCTAGGCTGTCAATGGCTGCCACAGGAGTGATGACAGTTAAACCCAGGCAACTCATGAAGTCATAGTAAATAACACATGATGGCCATTTTAAACCACTTTGTTAAGTATCAAAGGTTAACAGGATATGCAATGAATTTTACTACAAAATATAATGACCATATAAAATCCAATTCATAAACAAACTATATTGCAAATAATATCATAAAAACAGCACCAACCCAAGGGGCAAGAATTTTCTCTTAGTCTGAAATTATTATTATTATTATTATTATTATTATTATTATTATTATTACTGGTATGATTTAGAACAAGTATTTCACCTCGCTGGGATTCATTACCTTTCTAAGTGGTGTTGGACAAGATGGTGCTCATGGTACTTTCTACAATAGGATGACTTTAGTGCTAATCCTCATCTCAAACTACTAACTATAAACTCTACCCTTTCTCCCATAATGCATCAAAATCTATTTTTTCTCCTACTCTTTTGTCTTTAATATCTCAAAAACTGTCTTTAGTTTGCTGATAATCTCTACATATTTTGTGTGTACAAGTTACTTAGTACATTTCTCCTTTCGACAAAGAAAAGTGGTCCATTTACTCAGTTCCTACCTCCTCCCCTCATTTTCTCTTCAGCAGACTACAATCATATCTTTGCCACCATCACTCAATAAGATAATTCCCTATGTCCAAAGCTAATCTCTACTTTAAATCACTGATCACTTCTCACATCATAGTACCTAAGGACATGTGATATAATGGATCACTCTCATTTTTTGTTTCAGTCTGAGGTACACAGAGAAGTATACAAAATATGCTCTTGACAATTTAAATTAATGCAAATCAATTCAGGTGAAAATGAAAATATCTCTAGCATCCTGTGCTGACACATAACTTAGAACTCAGCAGAGGCAGTGAGATCAAGGTCAGATCTCAGCCAGGTCTAAATAGCAAGTCATATGTCAGTCAGGATTACACTGTGAGACAATGCCTCAATAAGCAAACATAACCAAACAAAAAACATTTCTAAAACTATAAAAGGTACTTTGTGTGCTTCAATAAGCCTTTTATTCCTTCCAGTCCCAAAGTAACCATCATCTAGATACTTGGGAGGTTGACTTCCTTTCTGTTTTTCTGGTAATACTAACTAAATAACGTATTTCTAGTAAACAGTGTATATTGCCTGGTTTGCAACTTCATTTGATAGGAATGATCCATTATCAATTCTTCAGTGTGTTCATATAAGACATTTGTTAATCAGGTTTTAAAACCTTTGCCAGTAAACTGAGTATTTCAAAGCACCTCACCATATATTTAACATATAAATGCATTAAAAGATTAAACATTCATTTTCTATGCTGACTGGCGACTACAATTTGCAGATGGTTAAGGCTTGGCCCCCAATGTAATAGTGTTAAGAGGTGATGGCATAATTAAACATCAATCATACTCAGTTATGAATCCTGAGAGATACAATAATGATTGGCTTGGCAAGACATGCTCACTAGTATAATAGTGGCACGGACAATATTTGATATTTGAGTCTTGCTCCACAAAAGAAAACTCATATCTGGCACCATTATCAGGCCAAGAACCTATGGTAGACAGGTCCCAGGCTCTAGGGGAGAAACTACAACTACTAGTTCATTGAATGGAGAAAGTACTAAGCTGAATCTTTATACCCTTATATCAGTGCATCTCTCAAACTTCATCTGAGAAACTTTTATTCATAGAAGATGGTGATAAACACAGAAAATAAGTAACTGCAGAATGCTTAGCCTTAATTGGAATATATATACCATATATCACATTTCTATTACCAAGGCTCAGGGGTCATTGCCAAAGAGGGACAGAAAACAGTGTAAAAGCCAGGGGTAATAGATGAATACAAAGAAAGTGTTTCTGGGAATAATAGGGCAACTACACATACAAACTCATAATGGTTAAAACAGTACACACAAAAACTGGGGAAGCCCAGGCTAGACTAAATTTCAACATGAAAATGGGAGTTGGGCATGAAAGTCCATCTCTAACTGTGGAGCTATTGTTAACTGTGAGCTTGTGGGAGAGGGAAAGACAGATTTCTCTTAGAATGTAACCCTGCTAAGCTAACAGTGCTCCAACAGAAAACCACACATTCAAGAATTTGGGGGCAGCATATATTGGGTCTTGGTGGGAAGTGGAAAAGGACAGAAAATTGTGTGAATAGAGAAAAGAGATAAAAGTAAATCTGGTTAAGAGATGAGGGAGGGGGTAAATATGATCAAAGCATGTTGTATAAAGCTTTCAAAGGGAGGAAAGTAATTTAGGTCAAGTGAGATGGCTCAGTAGGTAAAAGCATTAGCCACTTGAGCCTGCAGACTTGAGTTTAGTCCCCAAATCCCAAGGTGGCAGGAGAGAACCACCTCCCAAAAGTTGTTCTGTGACATCCACACATACTTAGCATACAAGTACCCCTTTTCCAATAATAATAACAATAACAACTATAATAATAATAACAAACAGAAATCCAAGGAATTTAGTCATGGGCTCCAAACTCATGAAGGGACTAATATAATTCCTATAGAATTGAATTAGTTGTCATGTGCCAGGCATGGTGTTTCCTGTCTATAATCTGGAAACAGAGGACGTAGACACAACAGGAGTGTGAGTACAAGGCGAACCCAGCTACACAGTGAGACTCTATAGCTACTCTTAAAGTTGGTTAACATAAAAAAACAAAGTCCAACTACTCTCTCTCTCACACTTTCTGGAACATGTATGCCTTTTGTTCACATACTCACTTTCCCTTCTGCTACAAAGTTCTTACCAGAGCCAAGCAAATGCTAGCATCATGCTCTTAAACATTCAGATTAATGAGTCAAAAATCCAAAAAAGCCACCCACCCCCAAAATTTTTTCTTTATAAACAACCCAGTTTCAGTAACTTATTACAGCAACAGAAAAAGAACTAAACCACTAGCCATATGGACTTACTATTATAAAGTATCTCTTCATGTCTTCAGTCTTCTCTTTTAAAAATTAATTTATAGTTCTTTATGTTCTTGATAGTTAATAAATCACCAAATCTAATCAATCAGAACTCTGTATAATACATCACCATTTCATCTCTAAGAATGACTTAAAAATTCTACTATAAGATGTGCCATAGTTGTAAATACTGTGGAACATGAAG